AAATATTTAGTTTCATGACATGAACATCATATGTCATAAAACCTACCGCCGCGTAGTTTCTTGGAAATAGGTCACTTTCTTTCAATGTGTACAACATACGTTCCATCCCACAAGTATAAAATTTTAAATAATAATTATCTTGTGATAGTTTTTAACATATATGTAAACATAACTATAAGAAATTAAAATGCGGTATAAATACACATCCCTGAAACCGAGATGTTATTTATAATAAATACAAATTAAGAGGAACATTCTGTAAGTGCATGTATCTAACGAAAATTAAATAATAATGGCTTTATTACCTGGCAGTCATATGCCGTACGTATATTATACACATATCTTCTGGATATATGTGTTCCAAGGGATTCTTGCTTGAAGGGAAAAGGAACGTGCCCGCGTACATATACAGCAGCGATGTTTGTTCAGCCGCAACTTCTCTAAATCTTTTGTGCCGAGGAGGGTTATAGTCTCGTACGCGGTTACATATGTGGCCAAGTATCTAATCGCGTATGAGATATAGCGCATTCGCATTCGTATTGTGCTAATCAACTTAAAAAAACGAGACATTTTAAATAAAATCATGTTAAATAACTTATATAGATATATACACAGTTAGAAGGAAAATCTTAAAAACAATATAATGTCCATATACTCACCACAAAGTCTCAAATACTTCTCTGGACACCTGACAAACTCTTCACATTCACGAGTTTCATTATATAGCTATAGCTCATCAACTCGTCAGAATCATTTAGCCACAATTTCATTTGGTTGAAACACAGATCGACTGTCTAAAAGACACAAAGTAACGGCCAAGACAAACCTTAAATGCTTGCTGACTAAACAGCGGGAATTAGCTGTGTCTTACTCTCCCAAGAGATTCAAAACTTTCACTACAGCTTGTATACATATATTCCCATATCTGTTTCCATTAATTGATGAGCTATTTACTTATACGTGTAGTATTCTCTTTTTCTCCAGAAGGCAATTTTTTCTTTTTTCATATATATACTTGTATTTCATCAATTAATTAAAAACTAGGAGAAATTTATTTTACATTTATATATACATTGTGTATTTTGATAGAGAAATTTGTTCAAAAACTTAAGGTGCCTAATGTAAACAAGCAACACGCTGTATATTTGTGTATATTTTTTCTAAAAATCAAGATTAATTTGCAAAATAAAAAACTTTTCTTTGTAGCTTTTTGTTATTTTGCACGCAAATTATAAGATATTACATATTGACTTAAACTTTGAATATCACAAGTTCAATGTCAATATTTTTTTTGCTTTCGTCAAATAAATTTAATATATTCTTCCATTGATTCTTTCATATAAGTAATTTCGATTTAAATTTAAAGTATTATATGCTTCAGATTTTTATTTCTGGTGACAAAATGAGGTTATATAAATAGGCTTCCAAAATTAATTTTAGTATAGATGCACATAATGTATATATATTATATGCATTTCATTGAAATCAAACCTTTCTCGATCAGAATTAGATTGAATGTGGTATTTTAGGAACTGTCAGAAATATCAAAAAGTAAAATTGTGTCACTGCATTTGTCATGACAAACGAGGCGCCGAGAAAGCAAATTGAAAAAAGTGTGTCTACAACTGCAAGGTTGGATGATTCCTTGACAGCAAGTATCTCTCATATTTCTTCTTTCCGTTCATTATTTTTTATCCCCAACCCTGATCATTTATACACGAAAAGCCAGAGTTAAAGACTCAATAATATATTAATTTAGGATTTGTAAAAATATATTTTATTTCGAAAATATTTTCAAAATACTTGTCAATTTCAAACTTATTGATCTTTATATCGATAAGAGCTTATTATATTGTATAGTTTTAAAAAAAATTGAGAATAATTTTTTTTAATTATTTTGCGATACGTGTGGATGTATTAGGATAGAAAAAGATATAAAGAATATATGTCATGAAATAGAGATATACATTTGTCCAATAGTTATAATACGTATGTGTATATGTGCACGAACACTATCACTTGAATTGAATATTTCCTGTCGGTACACGAGGCGAATGTGCACAACCCTATCTACTCGAGCCAACCACAGAATATCAGACAGCATATCCAGATAATCCTCCTGGCCCATTGATATGCTGATGGAAGGACTTGTCGCGTGAAATTGCCACCCGGTATACATTATTCGATTCGATTCTGCTGGCCCTTTTTAGCTCTTTCTCTTCCCCGTTCAATCCTATCGTTACCTCGCAGCCTTTTAATATAAAAAGTTTAAATGATTCGGCTTATTTATAGTTGATAATCATAATATAAACTAATAATTATATGACTTTAATAAACAACCTCTCAGTTTGGATGAAAGTAATCAAGATTTTAATTGATTTTGCAATGTGTAAAAGTAGAGAAAGAGGGTAGACTCTTGCTTTTTTCCAGTGCGGCGCAGCAGTCGGCAATCTGCATCATGTCTCATGGCAATGTAATTCGTTGGTTTACGTATTTTCCCCTGTGGTACCAGGACGAGGATATGACGAGCATGCACGCTAAATCTCAACATAAAGATAACAAACACGATTGCAGGTCTGCTGCGCTTTACCTCTGAATTCTATATGTTATAGCAACGAAATATTATATTCATTTTGGTCTTTATAAGTTTCTCATACTTTTCTCCATTCCCTTATCATACTCTTTCATAAACACGTATATACCTATTATTTTAGATTCAATATTTCATAGAACAGTCTAAAAACTTTTCTATGAATTTCCCTAACTTAATATTATAAATAAATAATTGTGTATTGTCAATTGAAATATACACATTCTCGCCTGGTTTATATAGTATATCTAAAAAAAGTCAGTTATTATTTTGCATTGATAATGCACAGACTATTGAATCTAAACCAAACTCATTTTATTACCCTCTGGATATGTGCATATTATTTTCAATTTTAAAATTAAAGAAAAATGAAAATTATATTGTCAACGTAAATTTAAAACATATATTTTTTTATTCTACAGCTGCAAAAAAGTCTGCGCACCAGTTGTAAATATTTATGCTGATCGATAATTTTGAACAAGAGAATAATTTTTTTTGGACCGTGCAATGTATACAGTATATTATAGCAACTATATAACTCTAATAAATTTATTTTACATACATATATATATATGCATTGTAGTTTTAGGTGTTTGGTATAAAACACAATTGTTGTTACTTAATTCATGAGCCATCCATTTTTAGAAGCTTCTAATGATTTTATTATTTATATTAAACATTAATAGTAAAGTGAAATGTCCTATATTATATATTTTTTTATTTAAAGTGCAATGTCATGTTGAGTATATATACGTATAAAAAGCAGTTCAATGAATTAAAGTAAGTATGTATTCAAACTTGGGCTTTTAATGTGCGTTTACCAAAGATCCGCCAACTTCCTGAGATAGTAGAGGTGTTTTGAGTGTTTTTGCAAGGCGAGAGTCGAACTCTTGGAAAAACAGACACCAAATTGAATCTCCCTTTGCGGTATAAGAACGCGCTCCTCAATCTATATCCTACATTCTAAACTCTCGAGACTATTTTATATAATAGTGTGTGTTAGTAAATTTTCTTAAAACAAATAAAGGATTTTAGCTTTGTTGTAAACAAATTCTTATTTTGATAATTTTTTAAAATTCCTAATGTTTGTAGCGTGGCTCCTAGATCCGTAAATTGATGTAATTATTAAAATATGTTTTACGTATAATAAATATGTATTTATTATTTATAATCTCTGTTATTTAGTGTTAAAAATCTCTTATTATTTAGTGCTTCATCATCTCCTCTGAATAATAAGCTTTGTTTTCAAAAAGTATTCTTTTATTTCGATGGGAAATTTATTAACATTTCTCAAATGTGAATATTTGTTTTAAAAAAAACTCAAAAAAAACGGATTTTTTCTTTTAATTTTTACTTTAAATTGCAACATTTTCTAAAAAAAGCTCACGAGCGATGTGTAAAAATGTTAATAATAAATAATAAATAAATTAATAAACCTATTACCTGACAAATTTTATATACTTAATGCTGAATTTACAAAACTAAAATTTGGATCAACTCTCCCCATTTCAGATATAATAAGCCTGTTTTTTTGGTGCGGGAAAAACCCAATGCTTATATTCGAGTTAAAAAATCTTAACGAGCCACAGACCATCTTTTACTAATCTCGTTTAAGAACAAATATGATTTCTGCCGTTTGACAGAAAATTTAAGAGTTATAATAGAGCCAAAATCAAAATGAAGTTACTTTTACAGTTTTACTTAGTTTAATATTTTTTTTCAAATTGAATCTTGCGTGGCATTATAATTCTGTAACTGTTTGACATGTGACATGTCAAGAATGTTTTAAAAACCCATTAACGAGAGTTGGGTTTACAAATTTTTTGTTACCATATTTTTGTAGTAGATATTAATTTACAATCCTAGAGATATAGTAGCAATTTTTTGCATTCAATTCCTAGAATTGAATTAAAGAATTGAATTTTTTGACTACAGTTCATGGATATGCATGAAAGAAAATTTTTTTGAAAATTGGAATAAAAAATTGAAAGAAAATCCTTCTTTTTAAAGAATATTATTTTAGAGATTCCAAAGAAGACTCCAATGAATCCGAAAAGAAATGAAAAGCCAAATAATTCCTTTGTACTCACACTCTGGATCTGTACATATACTTATGGAGCACTGGTAGCAAAATTTTCTTTATCTCACTCTCTCGTACATGCATGCTTTCCAGTGGCTTTTACATTGAATAGAAGGCGTGACAAAGTGCAATGCATATATTTCACTAAGGCAACAGTTCCCGAGGGGCGTGCAACCTTCTCATTAATCCCCTAGGATAGAACACCCTCCATTGGTTTCCTGCAGAATGGAGGAGTGGTTTCATCCACCAGAACCAATCATTTTCAGTCACATTCTCCCACCGTTCGTTAACTCGTTAGAACTTTTTCTCTGATTTTTCGGAGCTGAATGCGTGGCCCCTGCGCATCCCTAGAACGCACTCCGCTCTCAGCAAGAGACTCAGAACGTGGGTCCCAGTGTGTTTTCACTCGGGATTGAGTAAACGCGGTTCTGTTGTGTATCATAATATCGTGTGCATGCGGCTTATGGATGAACTGATGCTGAATGCATCATTCACATTTTACTCACTTGACCTATAAAATTTAAATAGAATCGACAAAGTAAAAGAGAGATCATTTTTTACAATCAACTATTCAACTATTGAAATTTCTCTCATGTGTTTTTTTATATTTTCCTAATATCCAAGATATTAAAGTAATGACTTTCAAAAGTGAGTGAGTGATGTGCTGTTTTATAGTTTGACTAATCAAGTGCTTTCTTGTGATAAGGAAAATTGTGAGTTAGGAAATTTCATCGAGCCGCTATCATTGCCATGATAATGAGTTTTGGAGCTCATTTCGTCACCGGATTGTTGTCCTTGGTCAGGTTAGCGTGAGCCAACCCCCGGAAAGTGTGCGCGACAATAGGACGTGCGATATCATAATCTGATCAGTAAATATCGACCGCTCGAAAAATGGTTGAGGCCTAAGGTCTAAATTTATTGGAATTCCCTGAGAGAGATATAAAGAGCTTTCTGTCCTTTTAAATCCAAAATGCACACCCTCTTCGGAGAGCAGAATGCCTACTACCGGCACGCGACAGCCGTGCCTGTAGGTATGGGGACACCTTCGTACCCGAGCGTCGGCGCCACTCCCGGATATTACGAACAATACCGCTACGGGAGTTATGCGACGGCCGCTGGCTACCCAGTTACGGGGATTTCCCAGCAACAGTTTCACCATCCGGGGAAGGACATGGTGAAGCCACCTTTCTCCTACATCGCCTTAATTGCCATGGCAATTCAACACGCCCCAGACAAGAAAATTACCCTCAACGGTATCTATCAGTACATAATGGAGAGATTTCCCTACTACAGAGAGAACAAACAAGGCTGGCAAAACTCGATCAGGCACAATCTCAGTCTTAATGAGTGCTTCGTCAAAGTTCCCAGGGACGACAAGAAACCCGGGAAGGGCAGCTACTGGTCTCTGGACCCAGACAGCTACAACATGTTTGATAACGGCTCTTATCTCCGAAGGCGAAGACGTTTCAAGAAAAAGGACGCTCTCAAAGAGAAGGAGGAGGCAATGAAGCGGCAAGGGTTGGTCCAGGAGAAGCGATCCGAAGATAACAAGCCTGCGAGTATAGGTGTCTTATCCACCTCCGACAATTCCACGAAGAAAATCTTAGAATCCGGACTTTGTAAGCCGAAAAGAGAGCCAATTAACGATCCCAGCGGATCTCACTGTATGATCAGTAAGTACGCTCATGCTCCAATTCAGGAGAACAAAAATTCCAGTACAACTCAAAGTGTCATTCAAAGCGCTCTCGGACCCCATTCGGTGCACCAAGTGCACCAGGAGCCCATTCAAGATGTCGCGATGGGATTGGATCCAACGAGTTTCAGTGTCGATGCCTTGATGACGAACCGGGAAAATGGAACCATGATGAACAATTCGACGAGAGACCATCAGCATCACGCTCATCATCATTCGCATGGACTTCAGCATTCGCACGGACACCCACATTCCTTAATGGCCGCATCGAGGGACTCCATGGGAAGCCTCGGCACCAGGGACCTTTCCATAGCAGCCACGACGACCACCACCACGACGGCGGCCGTTGCCGCGATGATGGCCTCCTCGGGATACGGGCACGTCACGACCACCAGGGGAAACCCCTCGCCACCCACTTCCATGTACGCTCCCTACTGTCCCTCTGGGTACATCATGGACCACACCGAGTACAACTCCTCGTCCAGGAATCCCAACAACACGGGGCACACCCAGTGGTACCAAGAGGCTGCGAGTCCTGATGCTGCCACCATCTACCAAGAGACTCAGTCTCCCAGCTGCCAACTATACAGGTATTGACCTATACTACTTAGTCATCAATCAATTCCAGCCCCTTGATCACGAGTTTTTTATCAGATAAATTGCAGAATCTTATTAAACATTCAAACTGCACAAGAAATATGTGTAGAGACAAATAATTAACAGTTCTCTTAACAAGTATCACTTTATTTAAATTCACATTTATACTTGAAAACATATTCACAATTGCGAGTGTACTGCTTATTAAATTTATGTGATTTCAATTGTTTTTAATGACAAAACATCCTACATGTTACGTAATTTATATATAGAGTTCAATATATATTCACCAGTTATGAGACATTTTTAATAATATTTTTATGAAAAATATAGATATTTTTATATGACAGCTGTAAAAAATATGTAATTATTTTAATGCAAACGTGGCAGAAATTGTTTTGATATCTGACGATATTTCTTGCTGAAATGAACTTATCGAATCCGCATGTGCGTCTACTTTTTCTACTTAATTTAAAGTGTACTGAAAATTACAAGTTCATTTAGAAATCTAAAATTAAATTAAAAATTATATAATTGATCGTAATTAACAGAATCACATTCTAAATTAATAAGCCGACATTACAATAAATTTTGAAATATTGATCAACAATTTGAATCTTGCTTTTGAAAGTAGCTGTTAAGGAAAGTTGTTGAAATTTAAAATGCAAAAATTCCAAACTCATAAGAAATCAGCTATTTTCTATTAAATTATTAAAGTCAAACCAAGTTTTCTTGGAGAAAAATAAAATTTATCTGAGCATTGTCTCCCTTAATCTAACTTAAAAATTTCCTTATGTATTTATGTTACAAATGTTTTTATACATCTACTTGCTTAATTTCCTTCTGGTTTTTATTTACACCATTTTCCTTAAGCAGTACAAATGTCATTTATCTTGAATCTTTTTATATAATTTTCATTTTGAGAAAGTTAGTTAATAATAAGTCCCACATATGTATTTTTCGCGGAGAATTTTATAAACAAATTGTTCTATTTTGACCAGATAATAAACAGTTATTAATTATTTATTTCAGATCTAGCCCTCCAACATCTCTTTCATCAGGCGCAGCACCATCACCACCATTGTATCATAGATATTATCAAGACTGTAACGCCGTTAATGCAAGTGGAAACTTACCAATCACGTTGCATAAATACTGAGAATACCGAAATTCAAGGTCTCATCGAGACCTTGAAGGCCCTATCAATCACTATGATCCCAACCTTGTATACGTGAAACAAGAATGGATCCCAGTTCATACGTCCGAAGAACTATCAAAAGAATGGAACTAAAATTTATTAGTTAAAAATATTTTCCCCTCAATTTATCAAAGTTTCAAACTAGAAAATTTATTTATCGCAAATACCCGTGTAGAAATTTAACCATGGCCCAAATAGGGGCCAGATCTTTTGATCATTGTGTAGGCCATAACATGGCATGAATCACCTTCCCAGATCGGGCCCAAGTCTGGCCAGACTTGGGCCCGATCTGGGAAGGTGATTCATGCCATGTTGTGGCCTAAATATGGCAATTTCTACACGGGTAAAACTTATTTTTACCTATTCTTGCTTATATGGAAAACAATGAAATTAATACTTCTTTCCAAAAGCTTATAAAAGAAAAAAGTTATTTGAAATCCTTTAAAAATCGCATAAATTTTCTATGGCTTACAATAATGAATTACTATGTTGACACTGAAGCATACTTTTATACATATACTATACATTCTTTATGAAAACTTTTAAAAAGTGATGAGAATTCTCTTGCAAGTATAACATATTACTCATGTGTAAAAATATTCATCACCTGAGCAAATGTCTTTCCTGACCTTACCCAATCGGTATTCAAATTTAGCAGTAAAATTATATTATATATTGAATTCGTAAAAATTTAATGGTCTGGCTTTCTGCAAATATTTTTAGTTTCAATCCTTAAAATTATAACAATAAGTATAAAGGAAAAAGATAACTTTAATTTTAAAAAAATAATTTAAATTTCGATTACAATGAAATTATACGAATAGAAATTTAGAAAATATTTAAAAATTTCAAACAATTTTTTTTATATATATATATATATATAGGTATAGGTATAACTTTGTTTTTTTTATTTTTTAGTTCCTTTCTTTAATTATATTTCTTCTTTGTTTTTATATATAGTCAAATTGTATAGTATAAATCATTTTTCTCAAAGAATGATAAAAATTTTAATGTTTATATACGAAAGCCATGTCCTTTGTAAAAAGTTAAATTTTATTGTTAAAAGTAGATGAGTTATTAAAATTCATTTTTACGCACGGTAGAAATTTGTTTAAAAATAAATACCGTAAGGAAGATTTAGGATAGTCTAACAATCCAGTCGGTTATGTGCATTTATCGAAATGGCAAATTCACGTTATTTCAATGAATTGTGATGTCATTTTCGAATGAGAGCTGAGATATATTTATTGATATGCTATAATAAATTATAAAAAATAATGTGAATAGATAAGACATTAGTTAGGCACATTAAAATTAAATAAAACTTTGAGTAGCGAAATTGTTTTAGACTCCAAAAGGTTATAGGAATCAGGGAAAAATCATTTTTTATTTGCCTAGCAAAGATTTTTCTCCGATTTTTCCACTTTTTCAGAGTAGATCTCTGCGTGTATATTGAAAAGAATTATATAAGTATATATATATATATATATAGATAAGTGTAGATTGTATAGAATATGAAAGATATATTATATATAAATAGAAACTTAAATATATATGGAACTTGTGAGACACTATGTATTAAATAATTATTTAATATTATGTAATACATAGTAGTCGCAAAACTTGATAAACTGTTCCGAAATATAAATATATTACACAATTAAAACAACTCTTTTTCTGCATTATTAAAACCTTTAACAATTTTCCCATCTCATTTTTCTATGATTTTTATTTTTTATATGTATTAATATTTTTTCTTATGAAATAAAACTTTCTTCTTTTAATTTATACATATAGAAAATTTGACGGTTAAAATTACATATATATTTATTATAATAAGAAAATTGGGCAATGTGGTTTTTAGAGTGAATAATGCATATTATATTAAAAATATATTTTTTTAATGCACAGAATTTGCATCCCTGGTAAATGTTTTAACATTTGAAGACAGTTAAACACGTATTTGCAAGTGCTTAGATATTTGAAAGTCAGAGTGATTAGTTGGTTAGCGGTTTTAAACAGCATCGCTTTCTGTTAGGAATTTATGGCCAAACAACGAAAGATACATTGATTATATACTTCTGGAGATTTTCAGTTTTAAAGCGAATTAGAGAGTTTATTATTGTCAAAGTTTTTGGCAAACTCTGCAGAACGACTTCAAGATTTGCACTCAAAAATTATTTTGATAAATTAAAACTAAAATTCAATAGAGTAATATGAGTTTTTTAAATTGACATACTCATACAATGTAGAAAAATAAAACATCAAGATAATCTTCCTTCTATACGCATGAATAATAACTTTCTACAATGCCTAATAGGTAAACCCAAATAAAGTTTCACACGCACTTCTTCATTTAACCAGTTCTATCAGTATAGTTGTTTTGACCTGAGGGAGAGATTTAACCGCATCTGCTATATCTATAACACGTGCTCCGAATAGTATCCTTATAAGTCCTCTTTGCTGGCCCATTCATTTGTTTTTTAAAAAGCAGCGGGATTTTAACATTTGTGTTCCAGGATTAATCTTTCTTCTATATAAATTGTAAAAAGTAAAGAAAACATTCCTTTAAGGTCTATATATAGGTATATAAAATAATAGTTTACAAATTCCGTGAAGACATGTTACTTTATACAGTTTTTATCTCGATATTATTTTTAATTTTAGTTTGCATATTGCTCTAGAAGAAATTTTAAAATCTTGTGCTACAATTAACACTTTTAACGATAAGCATTTCGTTACTCATCTATATATAAAATTTGCGAAAGACAATTTTTCTACTTTCATATGATGTAAATTAGTAACTGAACAAAATTAACATTCTGTTTAAATAAAATATAGTTATATAAATGTTTCTCTTATTTAATATTGAAAATAAATATTGATCAACATATTATGTACCTGAAAGTTAAATATTTCTTCCTAAAATTCTTCAAACACTCGAGCTTATCCCGCATCTAATGCGAGCAGCAAATAAATAGGGTCGCACGCATCATCAAGTTTCGTTTGTATTCGCACAAGGAGCTAATGCCTTTTTCGAACAATATTTGCATTCGTACTTGTTAATCATAATTGTACAAGAAAGTTTATATTGAAAGAGCAAGAGCCAATTTTTTTTCAGTAGATTTTTAATATATTGAAAAAGGGATGACTGATATACTTGACTTTTGTGTACCCCTTAAAGAAACACTTTTCCTTTTTACCCTCATAATATGTATAAACTAATTTGCCATAGTTTTTTAAAAAATATTTTGACATGGAGTATAGTAGAACTTACTCGGTCGCTAATTTCCGACAGTTTCCGCTTTCCGTCGTTACATTGTGCTCTGCTAACGGTTCCTCGTCGTCGTCTACTCGTCCAGAGAAAGGCAGCAGGTGCATATTTTCCCAGGGACACCCCCTGGCAAAACGCGAAACTAGAATTGCTCCAACCATCCGTCCGTCTGTCCGTCCTTTTACTCCTCCTCCCGTTTCTGAAATGAGGGAGGGAAATATCCACGGAATAGGGTTGTCTACCAATGGGGTGGCAAGAACGACGAAATTCAGTCGCCATGCTGAGAAATCGATACTAACTTTCGTTATGAATTAACCCAGAGAAATATGTACATATATAATTAAAGAAGATTCACTTCGGCTCATCATATCTCATTTCAAATTACAATAAAGATCTGTTCATTTTCTCGAAAGTTGCGTCTTTCCTCTATTGGAATAAATATGTAATTTGTATTTTCGGCATAATTTAATATAGAAACGAACAAGAGGGACTTGTACGTGAATCAAAGAGGTGGGGATAAGAAAGAAAGAGAAGAACCTAATTTCTCCTTATGCTCGATCCTCCTCCTTCTTAGTTAGGAGAAACGTACTTTATAGGGACGTTGTTATTAATATATTCGCGTACAAAAGAGATTTTTGAATTCATCTTGAAAATTGAAGGAAGAAACCTTGCACTTGAATCGAAGACAGGTGTTTTTCAGCGCATTGCAAAATACGGCGTAGCAGAGACAAAAAAAATATATTTATTCTTCCCCGTAATCGCGATGACCTTCAGAAAACGCAACACAACTGCGAGACTGATATGCGTTTAATCCAAAATAAAGTAAACAGAAAGTGCGAGCGTCATTATGACATTAAATGCTAAATTGGTTATGCAAACATGCAGTAATGTCGCGCTTGGAAATAGAGTATGTACGATTCGATTGGCATTTTACCACAATTTTCAGTTTAATTGGAAGGTATCGCATTCATATGCGATGTATGTATGTGTGGTGGTTGATGCGTGCACTGCAATTATATAAATGCGAATTATTGACAACTTTATTTTTGATAATGAAAAGCTTATTAGACTCACCAAGTTTCTCGAGAGGTCTCTTCATATTTGTATTTTATGGCTTAAAATGGTACCACTCATTTAGCAGTTATTATAACGTGCGCGCAATGTTTACAGGAAGCTTTAGAAAGATTTGTGTGGTTCTTCTAATTCAGGGCCACCCGCAACGTTTACATGAAGCGTGTATGAAAAAAAGGGGAATCCAATGATGTAGAGTACATTGTGTTTATAAAATTACGAATGATAATGTAAGCATTTTTTCACGCTCCCGCCGCGTGTGGGAATGCGGAATACCATCATCGAGCCCTATACCAGGGTCGCTGCGGGGCTAATTTTAGGGTGTTCACACTGTTCACCCCCCATACAAATGTTGACCGACACCGTTTACACGCAAACTTTACTTCCCATGATCTTGACACCAAATTTAAGCTGTTACAGTGCGCACACCAAATCATTCGCGGCTATTTAGAATATATTTTTTATCTTATATACTTTCAAAGTAAACTCGATTATCGCTGTGGAAAAGAAAAAAACATACTATACTTCAAAAACGAACGTTGAAACATTCATATATATGTACACATATACTATTTCAGCTTTCATTTAGAAATTTTTTAAAGAAAAACAGGAGATACATTTAAACATATTTTATTTTTATAAAAAAACATAAAAAAGTCTAAACGAGTTTTTGCATAAAAAAGAGAAAAAATTGCTACTTGGTCCCAAAAAGATATACGAAATACATTAAGTGATTGCTCGTGCCCAGTCGTGCACGTGATACTTATTCTCCCGTCGCACGGGTCATTGTGCATCAATATAAAACGGTGTTATTGGTTCGGTACAGAATAATAGGTTGGCCGCAGGCCATTCTCAAAATTAGGGCCTCATTGCTGGGGGGTACTCTTTGGGATCAAATACACACAATGCATCATTGTTTCACTTTCCAATGCTCTCTAAAGCCACGTACCTATTACACTCTACTAAGCAGGCGACGGACTGTCTGTCGCTTTTCAAACCCTTTTTTTCTTACATGCAAAAAAACAAGTTTCTATTTAACACATTATATGAGTTTTTTGTTTTAAACATATTATTTAGAGTTTTATTGGCTATACAAATAGTGTATTTTTGGTGAAACCAATGAAATTGTATTGTAGAAGATTGTATTGTACCTTATTGGATAAAATGAAGGGGTCAATGGATCTCAATGAGTATAGAATATGGGCATAAAAAGACAGTTTACTATAAACCGAGTCTATTGGCTTGTCTTGTGAAACTTACGCAAAACTATTGTTGCTTAAATGCCTCCTGCGGTGTCACGGTAGAATGGCTAGTGTAGGTTGTCCGATATACTTTTTCCCTTTATTTCCAAATAATAGCTCAATTGGTCCGAGTCTGATGCGGCTTAACCCTCGTATGCGGACTAAGTAAAAAAGCGGAACAGTGCATGTAAAAAGAGAATAAAGAAAGCAGACTAACAAATGCCTTCTTTTAAAACGATACAACAACAACAACAACAGAAAAAAGCATTATTATACCTAGATTCGCATAACCTTCTTATGTATTTTCTATCTGTGAGTAATACATATACATAATTAGCGAAAAGATTCTTTTCCATTTTTAAAATTTATTTTACCCATAAGAAGAGAATCAATAAAACGGCTAATTTCAACGACAAAATAAAAGTGTTGAGAGTTTTTGAAAGCGCGAGAAGTATAGGCGACGACAGTGTCGGTGATTTAATATTTTTCTTGTTATGAGTGTAAGCTCTCTAGTTTGTTCTGAAAACAGCGACGGATGAGCAGAGTTCATATCCTGGCTCTCACAACCACCTGCAAGAGTACGACCCGACCTATTATACTCGATATTCTGAATCTTGCTTGTACTTTGCTGTACAGTCTTGAGATTCAATTTCTTCTACTGACTTATCCGATCTCATTATTCTAAAGTTCACAAGTGATATATATCTCTCCATCCTTGGAGAAAACTAATAATTATTATTATTATAGAAATTGTGGCTTAAACATACAACAACATGAACCAAAATATCAAAGAAACACTGAGATTTCAATGAAAATTCAAGTCAACTTGTAATTTCTAACAAATATTTATGATGTTTTTAAATTTATATGTTGACTTTGTGCAATATTTTAAAAAATCTGTTTTGTTTTTGCAAATTGAAGAGATTTAATAAGTTAGTAAATTAAGAAAATAAGAAATACATAAGATTTGAAACATTTTCTGAGTTTAGGTGCAAGTATTATTTTAGATTTGAATGGATAGTTTAGAATTGAATGTCAATTCCTCCAGGAATGGGAATTGGGATTCCTCCTGGAAACCCATGATGGTGGTGTCCGTGATGATGGTGGTGGTGTTCATGCTCGCGTCTATGATGCCCATGATGATGGTGTCCATGATGAGGATGACAATGATGAGGAGGTCTGTGCGATGGTCTGTGAGTTGGCGTTGGCGTTGGCGAAGGTAGCAATGTTGGCGTAATTTCCGTAGAGTTCGCAGGAGTGGCAGAAGTGCTGTTATCCTCCGAAGGTTGTAACGTTGTATTTCCGGGTAATTCAGATTGTCCACTTACACAAGTGTACTAAGCATAAATAATTTTAAACATGAATATTCGTCAAATTATAACGACATAGAAAAATAGGTGATTTATGAGGATATTGATCGCTTTGTCGAATAAAAGTTATATTGTTTCTTTGTTTCTTTGTCAATTTGTTTGTCAAAGCTTTTTCTCTATATGCTTATGCATATAAGTTTACATGTATTTTCCTATTGCAAATATTGTACATTGTATCATTGTACGTTCTGATCGTTAGGTCAACAAATTAAAAAGTATTGCTAGGTATAAATAATAAAATAAGCTTAAAACATTAAAACATTTTGCGCCTAGTGTAATATCGATTACACCTCAATTTTTTAAGTATAAATAAGAATATAGAATACAAATTACAAACTTACAGTAGCGCCCAAAATGGTCAAACCGAGGCAATAAGTAACTAATAAAAACTTCATGTTTCTTTAAAAGTTGCTTCTCAACTGTTTCTACTGAGACCGCAAACTCTGCTTTTATACGAAAGATTCCAAATACAATATAACAAAAGTAAAGAAATAAGAATAATATAAGTGATGTGTATAAATATGTGCATGTATTATACGCGGTAGAAATTTCATTGTATTTATTGAATTAATAATGCATTTGTTATTAATGATATTTAGTTCATTTTCTTGCGAAATATTTAGTGCACATTTCCTTGTACCATTTATTGTCTTAATTAGCGTTCACGTTTTTAACAAAGTGAATATGCTATGTATGAGACTTCTCTATTATTATGAGTATAATAATGAGGAACTTGTAAAGAGAAAATGTTGGTTTAATTTTCTTCTCTAATTTCAATTGTTTTTTCCAATTTTTAAGCACATGTGTGTTTATTTTACATAGCATATTTAGGAGAGAACTATAGTAGGAATATTACTCACTTTTTACTCTTTGTTGTTCATTAATTAAGCTGTATTTACATTAATAATTAAAAGTATATTGTATATAGAACTTATATGCTCTAATAGTTTCATTATTAAAAAAAAATGTTTTTACATTACTCCTTATACTTGTTCTATGTATATATATACATAATGTTTATTTTAAATTTCGACCATGAAATTTTATGTAAACTATACAATTTGTAAAAAATTTATTGCAATCACGGAGGTTAAGCATTGTTGAGTGTAGTTAGCAATCGAATAGGTGACCACAGTGGTGTTCAATAACTATTCATCTGGCCAAATTTATAAGTTAATAGACGAAAAGTTAAATTGAAACGTGAGGAGATCATTAAATCAGATTTCTTTTTGTAAATGTAATTATTTCTGAGATAAAATGGGAATTTTTTGTCTAATTGAAATGTCATGAAAATATGCACATGATTCACGTAACAAAGTCATTGCATTCTATAGATGACTAAATGCATATGATTATTTCGAGACGTCAAGGCGTCGCGACGCGTTCACGTTTTTTGACGGATGCCGTTAACGAGCGCACTTGACGATTGACAAAATATTCTCAGTACGTGACATTAAATTAGTACATATATATATAACATTAAAAATACATACCTTATACTAGAAAAAATTATTCTTCAATATGCGATACTCATAACTAAATGTTTGATTACAATTACTAATTCTTTTTTTATTATTATTATTATTATTATTAAAAAAAAGGTTTCTATTTAAAGTACTACGTGAATTTATTCAAAAGCACTGCTTTGATATTAAATATAAAAAGCACATAAAGTAAAACACATCATTTACATTTTTGTAAAATAGTATATCTAATACATTTGTAAATATGTATAATTATAAAAAACTTAATTTGAGAGAAAAATGTTGGATCTTATTGATATGCACCTATATAAGATGTAACGGTATATCCTGTTGATACTGGCAATGTTCTTTGTTGATTTAAACTCCCATCATGTTGGCCGTTGCTTTGACTATTAAACTCACACTTATAGTAGTCACTAACTTGATTGGTTACTGATCTAAGGCAAATTCAATCAATCAGATTCTTTCAGTTAAGTTGACCTGTCATTACACATTAATCTTTCCCAAGAACCGGCGATCATTTTAATTTAAAAATGACAATTGTTATCTTTTGTTCGGGTATACAAATTAACAAAAAAATAGAAAAATTTTAAATAAATTTGAAATGTTTCATGCCAGGTGAATTTACTTGTTAAGAATTCCATATACAAATTTTTAAAGATTACACAATATTTGATTATTTCGATTCAATAAAATCCTCCACTGAATATGCCCTATAGGCGGTTTTATCCTGAACAATAGAGATAAGTACGTAAAGGATTGTGTCGAGTTGTCATGACTGCCGTTTATACTTACCTACATATATTTAAAAACCATAGTCATTATATGTATATCAGCCTACCAAACTGTTTTTTTTTGGTAGACCAATTGAAAACACAGCGTAAATAATCAAACAGAAAATTTAAGACAACAAACCTACAAATTTTGAAAACAGATGTGAAACATTCGAACCAAATCAATTGGATCCACTTGTTAATTTTTTTATCAGCACAATATTAAATTACTTGAATAATAATGTTATATGAGTAAAATTATTCTATTGTTAAGAATGAAGGAAATATTATTCAAAAGATTCAAGAAGAGATCTTTGAAGGCAGAATTCTGAGAAGATGAAGAGGAAAAAAGATAAGGTTTAGAAATTGTGAGAATCCTTTGCGGTATATAAATGTAATGATGCATATCCGAATGGAAAGACGGAAAAAAGAAGCTAAAAACAAAGCCAAGTATCACAGATGTGAGAAGGAAATCAAGAGAAGCGAGAGAGCACGCGAGTCATTTGTCGCAGAGGCGTTCAACCGTTTGATCGCAAATGGGAGACCGACTGTTGCTTGGCAATGTCACACCCCATCGTCCTGACTCCATAGGAGACGAGGGAGGAAGCAGCAAATTGGCCGAAACCAAGTGTAATGTACAGGCTTGAATTTCGACCTTTTACAGCTTCATACCTAGAATTATCTATATGATTAAAAACAACTTGTCGCACAGAGAGAGAGAGAGAGAGGGCAGTACATTTTTTCTTTTTTTTTTTATCAACTATTGTAAATTATACAATTAGCCAACTTTTTTATCTACACATTTCAAAAACGCTCAGTTGACATTTACACACTGACAATGCCTGCCTGCGTGAAGCTTCGTGCTATTTTTATAAGCCCACGATTCCAAAAATAATGCCAACCTCATCTATAAAGTAGATAAAAAACTTAATATTCACACCTAGTGCATTGCTTTCTCTTTATGGGAACTTGACATATTTTAAAAGACACGAACATTTCCGATCGATCATAACAGAGATCGTGATCCGTCTAAGAAATTTGTCTTTTACGTTTCCATTACATCTGGAGACGATGACACATTTAATTGTATCCAATTTAAGAAATATGTGTCACGTAAAAAAACATTTCGTCTTCCGAACCTGCTTTACGCATATACATTTCTTCCAATTATTCTGACGACAGGCGCAGTTTAGCAGTTCCCTCGCCGGATCCTCTTTTCACGTCGACGGTCGACCACAAACACCCGAAAGGTCGTGTCCCGACGGTCCCGACGGATCGTCAAGCCATAGAATGGATATTGATGTTTCCTACGCCTGTTTTACTCATTGTAGTATATGTTAACGATTAGCTGAGAAATTTCTTGTCATCCACTACCCGCCCATATTTTTAACGCTCTTTTAACAGAAAAAATATACACTTCCCGATCGCTTATTTTCATATCTAATCTTGTGTTTTTTTATTTCCAGTATGTAGAATATCTACATTTCATTGTAACACCTACATGTTGCTAATAAAATGCATACTTTATTCATAATAATTTATAATAAAAACTTGATTTTTTCATTTTTGAGTGTATTGAGCCTGGTATATATTTGTTGAATGTGTGGATTTCGAAATGAATATTATCGTGGGCTTTAGTATGCAGAGAGATGTAAAAAAATAGTTTCGTATTAAAATGATATGATGATAGGTACTTGGTGGTCATTGAAAATTTAAGAAGCCATATCTTTTTTGTTTACCGATATAAATGTATGCATCATATGCTTGAAAAAATAAAAAAACATTCTAGTGTAGGGTAGAATGTCTCTTGAAAATGACGTTGCAAGATGCCACGTGTGTTGAAGGCATTAGGACTCTTGTTGAAAAATGACCACACAGATATCTCTTTCGATTCCATTGAGAGGAGAAGAAGAAGAAGAAGAAGAAGAAGTAGGCTGGAGTCTCTTCATCTATGCTTCATTTCTTGGGTCGGTCGTTCATTCATTCTTACATACGTAAGTTTCTCGCCTCGTCTTGAGTGGGATCCTCTGAACGAAGTGGATCGGATGGAATTTCATTTTTGACACACGTCACTGCTTCTTTTAGTTAACCATTGAAACGCAAAATATTCTTCTGCCATCAGAGTGATATAACGGAAGTACAAAGAATAAAAAATATATACTAAATTTCAAATTGAAATATCTCTTTCTGTGTGTCCAATATACTATAAATTCATGAAACATGTTTATATACTTTTAAATTTTTGCAGAGTAATTTTATATTGTTTATGAAAAATTATTAAATCAATTCAATGTTTCTGCAAGCTTAGATGACACATTTTTAGAAACTGTTTCTTATTAGCATATACACTGGGTCGAAATTCCATAGATTCTTTTGATTCCACCTGACGATGGAATTTATTTAAGATTTGTGCACCTTCAATAAATATTTGTCTTTTCTCTCCCCTAACACTTGAAAATTCCTACATTCAACCATCACACGAAAAGGTCTAACCTGAATATAAAATTTATTTATCTTCTCGCATAGGGCTAGACAGCATGGCACCACAATGAAAAAAACTGTTCGATGAGAGAAATTGATGAAATTATTTCAACAACTATTGTCAACATTATTGAAAATAATAAAATTATTGCCATTTTTTAATGTACTGACACTGTAGATAATTTAAAAGTTCCTTAATAAAATGTATAAAGAGATAAGTCGAGGGGAAATAAGAGAGACGAAAATAAAGAAAGGAAGAGCCTACTCGTGCCTCTGTTGATTTTGGCTTCAGGTTGACGTTTAGGTGGCAGAACGGATGGAAATATCGGCTGCTAAAATAATTTAAGATTGCAACCACAAGATGCCACGATTGGTGTACATTTTAAACGAAGCTTTGATATCCCTCTGAATAATATCGTTGATGAAAATATTTCAAATTTACAATACTGACGACAGATTTAGTGTCCGCCTTGTTGGAATATGATTTATTCTCCAACGATATAGAAAGTTTTATTATAAATTTTATAAAAAATTGCTGTTGAATCTATAATTTTAAAAAGAGTAAATTTTCTGTTAAACATATTGAAGAGGAATTCTGAAGAATTCTGTATCGAAGTTGCAAGTTGTTTCAAAGTTAATAATAAACTATTGTACGTACCGTACACAACGGACTTAACAAAATGGTACAACTAATATGAGTTGAGACTTTGAGAGTCAGCTATAGGTGATGTGTATTTTAAGCAGG